AATCTTTGTTCCATCACTTTTGGCGCTCATTTGAAAAAAGCGAAATTGCTTTCGGAATGACCTAATAGTAAGCATTTGGAGTTTCGCTTTTTTGGGCTCATTTCATTCGACACATTTTCCATCATCTAACAATCCATTAGACAGATTTTGGTCAGATCAGTTACTAATCCCTGATTTGCTTTCTGTTAAGGGTGCAACACACTTTTACATGTACATTAAGTATATCGATGAATATAGCCGTATTTTACTGGATGATTATGTTCGCACTGGCGATGCAGAGGTCATAATTCTTCGTGATCGTTTTGGAAGAAAGGATGATCGTTGGCAATCCATGGAGATCCAGGTAACATAAATCTCGTGAGCGTATTTGAACCTGCTATAAACATTCCAGGAATGTCTCAATCGTGCGCGAGGACACTCTCAGTGGGTAGCATTTGTTGATTTGGATGAGAGACTGACGCCAACAAACTATTCCGGGACATTACGGAGTTATCTAGAGTAGGAATCAGCGATTAGCAGAATGTTGAAATCACGGCTATTCTGTTCAGGAACCTAACCGATGATAAAATCGGAGCAGTCCAGTTTCGACAGCGCTGGATATTGAAAAATGAAACTCTCCCTGAAAAATATACAAATTCAACTCAGGTATTCTCACTCAGCTGCTACTCAAGCGCAAGTTCTTAATGCAAACATTATTTGGCAGATAGCTAGTTGGATGCCGACGCGACGGTACCACAATACATCTCATGTTGGCCCTGTAGGTCACACTGCGAAATGTATTATCGATCCCAAAAAGGTCATTACTCTACGTTTACTTACATAACTGTATGCTAGACATTTTTTGCTACTCTATTGCTTAATTATGTGCTTTTAGAAGCTTCACCACTGTGTCTAAATTTTCTAATCAGAGTAACACTTCTCCCATCTACCTCATAGCTAATGTCATAAGTGGCAGATATTCAGCAGCTTAGAGAGTAACACTTTCAGTCAACCCCGCGCACGCAAACAGAAGCCTAGCCTGCTCTGTCAGTCTCTAAGGTTAATTTTTGACTTATCCAATGAAATGTGAATTCCTATCAATAGCTTTTGATACTAAGTTTCGAATTGTATAAGAATAGCTTAAAACGTAGGGAGTCTGTTAGCTAAAGCAGGGCTGCAAACATCTTGCATAAGCAACGGCCAATGTAGTTCATTCTTTCTCTACCAAAGGACTGAATAATTACAATACAAAGAAACCTTTAAGACATGCATGCCTCTGAAATGTTTTCATAGCTTATAGCTGTCATGATCTTTGAAAATTCTGAGAGATGTCAAAACAGCTTACCTTTTACAATGTTGAATGGACTCAATGCAGTCTTCGCTAGTCTTTTGATAATCTGTCTAATCCTTTACGCGGAAATCGAAATCTATTCATTTCCGGTCATCAAATACTTAAGCTACATAAATACCCCGAGCTCTAGTGCTTTCATTGAACGCGACACACCACGAAAACATGCTTTAGAGGTAGGAAAAATTTACACATATCATTGAGATGGCTACAAGTGGCAGCACTGCCACTGCACACCTGCTCTCGTCGCACGGCCAAAAAGTCAGCGTGATTTCAACCATACTGTCTTGTAAGAAATCTTCTACTTTCTCAGTAGGAGGCCTTGTCAGTTGTAATGTACAATGCGTTTGATTCTGAAACTGTCTTTTTTGTCCTTTCCATCTCCGGCATGCATATGATGAGTTATGGGCGATTTCTGGTGGAAAAATCAGATGCTTTGTTGGACCAGAGTCATTCAGAATCGCTATGGCCATGTTGGAAATTAGTGAAATTTGTCTAGTGAACATCCAAACACTCATAGACACTGCTCTTTTGGTACTCGGACCTTTGTTGATGTGACCTGTGTCTTGCTTGCATTTTTCGCTCCAAAAAAGTCAGCTTCAGGGACTCCAACCTCATGGCAAAAAAACTTAAGAATCAGCTTTCAAGCAGACAGGCATGACATTTTTTTGGAAATGCCCTTTGATTAAAAACTCTTCCTCGATATCATGAAAATTAGAAAACGGGCTTTTTTTCAATTGAGAAGCAAGCGATGAATTCACTGCTTTTAGGTTCTAATTATGCATGTGCATTATGCTGATGCATTTTTCGAAGGTTACTCAATGTATGCAATGAGACCCGAAGAGGGAGTCGTGAGGTCCTTTGAATTGTGTATTTTGGTTACAAATTTTATCTCAGATGGAATTATGCTAGATTATTCAATAAGTGATGCGGTGAGTTCAGGCATTATCGAGACATTAATTCTGGTCAATGGGGCAAGATATGGCTTGGAGAAGTTGAAGAAATGGGCAAATTTTCAATGACAGATTATCCTGCGAAATGGGCCAATGAACTATTATCGAATGTGCAAACACGGGTTCGTTACGTGTATGGACGAGAAAATTAGAAAATCCGCTTCGAACACACATTTGTTTGAGTGCATCATCCATGCTTTGTTCGCAATATTGTTTTTAATATATTGAATACTTGAGTAACCGGAAAGTCAAACATGATTAGACAACACACAACATTACTCAGCATAAATACTTGCATATCTATGAACGAGAATTTAACTGATGACGTTTTGAAATGCTCAAATAAATCGGTT